TAAACTAGACGCTTTTTCGTTAGCTTTCTTAGGACCAGTATCATATTATGATCTGAAAGACCAGTAATAAGATTGTATATTTTTGTTACTCTCTCTGGCCTGTTTGTAAAAATCAGGTCTATAAGGGTTCCACTCTTTCTAGTAACTCGTATAGGACTGTCAATCAGCTGTTGTATTTAAATTTGTTCATAGTTTACTTTAGTTTTGCCTTACCCTTTTTATCTTTCCAATTGATTCTGGGTGTGAACGTAGTTCATTTAGAGTTTCTTTTTTACATTAATGGTATATTTTTTTTAAAGTAAGATGCCCAAAGACTCGCCGAACGGCATTGAATTCACAGATAAAAAAGATGTGGGTTCAACTTTCATTTTGGAACAATTTTTCAAGCAAGGGAAGGGAATGATCTGAGCATGCAGGAGGACTGACCCATCATAAACCTTTGTCGGCTGTGCTGAAGAGAAAGGTACAGAACCAAATTATTTAATTAATTAGCTACGCGTTCTCCTGTCCTCTGTCCTCCGGGCCACACACACACACGCGCGCGCGGGACTGTCTCAGCTGTTATTTTCGTTAAGGAGTGTGCACATACAGCATGCGCGCCTCGTGCATGAGCCTACTATTGAAGCTGGCGTTACGCTTTTAGCCTGAGGGGGCAATCGCGAGCATAAAACTTCAAAAGTCCATAAAGTCCCTTTAATTGTGCCCACCTGCTTCTTGTTATCTGATTACCCATCCCAGTGTATACATAAACCTTGTGTGTTTGTTTGTCCTGATGGGATCAGAGAGATTAAAATTAAGTGAAATGATTGAAACTTTTAATACAGTGTACAACAAGATTAGGACAGCTTCCACTGAGATGGTGCTCAAAAGAAAAGAAAAATGTCACAGTCCATTGCTGAAACAGCATCCATAAAAGCAACGCCTCTAGCTTCAATAAGAACAACAGCAAAATATTCAATAAAACAAATGTCGCTAAAAACAGCTACAATCAGAGAAACAGTACAACAAAAGAGAGGAATGTAAACAGATGCCTTCCCTGAGTATAAAGATGGACTCTTTTGTGATCAAGAATACTCTAGTCTTTCAGCCTGTTTGTTCTGCTCCTCAGGAACCTGAAACATTTCCCTGAAGGCAGCAGTTGCAATAGTGGGTGTCCGGGGTGCAGAGCCAGCTACAATCTTCTGTGTTTTAGACACCTGGAGCTAGCAATGCTTTCCAAGGTAGACCGGGGGGTTGGATTACCCCTGTAGAGCCTTGCTACCTGGTGCTGAGCAGGCAGCAAGCCACTCAGAGATGGAGTACACCAGCACTGACTCAATGGTGGTCCTGTGAAAAGACACCAGCCACCTCTCCGCAAGGTGGTTCCTTGCCAGCACTCGCAGGAAATGCCCTGCCCTGTGTGTTCACAGAGACAGACGGCTTCCTTTTTCTGACGTAAGCACTGGTCTGATGGGGGTGGGGCTGGTTTCAAACCCCCCGAGGGCCCTAAATGCTAAAAAAAAAAAAAGTTCACACTTCATGTATCACTTCAACAGCACCAAGAACCTACTATGAAGAGTTAAGAAATCAACCAATGAGGATGATCTACGCAGGGCTTTGGTGAGACCTTGAGAACATAGAAGTTGAGACAGGTGCACAACACTTCCATAGCAAGATGGTGGAATGCTAACGCTTGTTTCACACAGATTGCTGTACAGAGGCACTCTGGTTTCCGTATGGCTTCTAGATGGATGACCAGTCACATTGACTGCGATTCATGTGCTGAACAACTCCAGATAGCCGCTCCCACAAGAGCACCAAATCTGACACAACACTTTTAAAATATACCTGTAGAAATAACGTGAACTATCACACACTTTGAACTGATATCACCGTCATTAACAATAAAACGAAAGACTGAAGGGCAAGACCAGAACATAGGCCCAGCTCACAGAGCAGGATAATTGTGCAGATTTTTCACCCGATCCTCCCCTTCCGACAATCTTAAGGAGAGAATAACCCCCTACCAGTCTCACTCTGCCCACACTTCCTGTTTGCAAAATGTGTCAAAAGGAGGCATCGCCTGGCGGACCGAAGACAGAGAGGTGCTGAGGCAGTGACTGACAGACACCCCGACCCTACGAATACAAACATGTTTTCATTTGATATAAAACAACAAACAGACGTTATTAGCAATCCGTGCCAACATGTGTGAGGAAAAGTGCAAAAATAAAAAGAGGCGACATGTTTGGACACGGAAATCTTCGGGCAGCCATGATGGTGCATACGCTGTGCTTCAACCCTGTGTGACCGTCATGAGGGATAAGCCAAATATATCCAGTGTTGGGCACCTTACATTAAAAAATGTCATTAGTTACAAATTACTTTTTCCCAAAAGTAATTCAGTTAGTAATTCAGTTACCACATTGTAAAAGTAATTAGTTAAGTAACTGTAATGTTACTTTTATGTTCTAAAATATCCATTAACAATTTGTATAACAGAATGATTCTAACTTTCTAGAATTAACATTTCAGATATCTGAAAGTTCATAATGTTCTCATGGATATCTGAAATGTTAATTCCTATTAGGAAAAATGGAATTATAGATATCTGGATTACATATCCAGTCCGGCAAATAAATGTTAAAAAGGCCACCTTAGGTTTTTAGGGATTCTGCCATATTTTAAACTTAATTCTTACGAGTGCAGTTGTTATTATACATAACCTTAATTATAATTTCTACAGGAGCAACATAGCTGATGATGTCTTCATTTACAATTTTGACTAATAAGAATATAATTAGTACTAGGATCAATTAAATTATTGCTGTATAAACCAGGAATTACAGAGAGGTCTGATTATTGATTAAATGTTAAAACGGCATGCCAAAGATGATATCCTAAGGGAAAATGGGACACTTGGAAAAGTAATTATTTAGAAAACTCCATCGATCCATCCATTTTTGACTGCTTATCTAGGGTCGGGTCACGGGGACAGTAGCCCAAGCAGGGAGGCCCAGACTTGTCTCTCCCCAGCTACTTGGGCCAGCTCCTCCGGGGGAGTCCTGAGGCCGAGAGACCAGTCGAGAGACATATTCTCTCCAGCGTGTCCTGAGTCTTCCTTTAGGTCTCCTCCCAGTTGTACATGCCCAGAAAACCTCACCAGGGAGGTGTCAAGAAGGCATCCTAACCAGAAGCCTAAGCCGCCTCAACTGGCTCCTCTTGATGGGAAGGAGCAGCAAGTCTACTCCAAGCCCCTCCCGGATGACCGAGCTTCTCATCCAATCTCTAAGGGAGAGCCCAGACACCCTGCGAAGAAAACTAATTTCAGCCGCTTGTATCCGCGATTTCATTCTTTCGGTCACTACCCAAAGCTCATGACCATAGGTGAGGGTAGGAACGTAGATCAACCGGTAAATCGAGAGCTTCGCCTTCTGGCTCATTTTTCTCTTCACCACGACAGACCGGTACAACGTCCGCATCACCGCAGATGCAGCACCAATCCGCCTATCGATCTCACACTCCATCTTTCCCTCACTTGTTACCTGAAAAATAGCAAAATATCAGACGTGTTTTCGTTATCGACAGCTTAGGTGTTAATCACTTCTCAATACCTCCTCACTCAGGCTCGGAGTCACACACGTATTGACTGAGACGATTTTCCTTCAGACTTCTCCTTTACCTGGAGAAGTGTTGTAACGTGATTCTCCTCCAAGACAGCAGAGGGCGACGCCATTTTCTGGGGTATCCTGCCACCTCTAAACCCACGTTTCCCGCAATTTCCGTCCTTGAATAAAAACACTTGCTGCGTATCTTTCAACTCCTTCAGTTATGAGAGAATAAACGTTCATTTTATCAGACATTCTCTGCGAGATGTTCTTCAATCTGTTCCACATCTGCCACTAGATCTCTTCAGATCTCTTTCTGTTCTTTGAGGAGGCAATGGTGGTGCTGTTGATGATTTAAAGGAAACAGCATTCTGACCAATCTCAAGCTTGCAGTCTCCGTCACCTTGTAGGAAGAGCCCTTGCGCCAACGCACAATGGTGTAGCATTTCTTCGTGCCCAAGCAGACGGAGTTTTAACCTGAAGGGGATGCAATGATGATCTTTCAAATAAGATGCCCTAAAATGCCAAGATATTGATGTCTACAGCACTATTGGACACTCATTTAAAATGTTTATCTGCAAATCAAAGTTGATTTGGTGTTGAAATGCTCTTTAACTCATTCACTGCCATTGATGACTAAAGTCGTCAATTGCGTTTTTTAACATGGCGGGCTTGGGAACGAGCTTGCGCACCCTGAGAGTAAATATAACTACTCTAAAATAGATTTTTATCCGTGTGTCACATGTCACATGATCAGGAAGCAAGCAATCCGTGAATTAGGAGATCGTTTTGGGACGCCGCTTTTCCTAAGACGCGGCACAAACCGGGAAGGCTTCTGTAGCTCACCTTTCGAAAACAGATTGTGAAAGAAAGGAAAAAGATAGAAACACGCCCATTCTGCCTGATGTACGAAGTGAGTCTTTGGTATTTTTGGTGTTTACATAAAGAGCACAATATTCTGTCACTCTTCAAAAGCAGTAAAAATGCTCAAAAACGTTGGCAGTCAGGAGCTTTCTAACCAGATAATGGCTGGCAGCGAATGAGTTAAGGACGTGCCAGATTACCCTAACAACTCCAAAGATAATCTGAACAGCTATTCCAGCTGCGTGTGGGGATGTTACGCATTCTCTGACCTGCTTGGATGCACGTCAGGACTGTTTGGATCATAAATCAATGATTTCAAACGTGTTGGATTGTCTCGATCGGATTCTGGAGGACAAACCCATATGCTGCCTGTTGAACGTGACATGTAGCCAATCAGAAGGTGAAGTCACAGAAGCGCACGGTCACGTTTGATCTTGAGAGGTGTCGTGGCATTTCCTCTCTGAATGTTTGTGTGAGAAAGGGTGAGATGTTTTTGCAGCGTTGCTGCACACCACATGCTGGATGACCAGAACTGGTACATCTGTGATGCTTTTTCTCACCATGTGTGGTTTCTTGTGTTTTGAAAATGATCTGACGATTTAAAATGCACTGCACTGAACGGGGCTGACTAAATCTAGCTGATGATTTATGGAGTTAACCACAAGTGGAGGAAATGAAGATTAATAATAATGTGATTTAGTTATTAAGAAACAAAGTTATTATGATGAATTCCCACGTCCCCTAACCAAGCCCTAATCCGAAATTTTAAAAAGATGTCACTCAGCTTCTGAGTAAGCATTAAGCCCTACAAGCCAGTGTGCTGTAGTTCAGCTGGACAATGCCTCTTCAGTTCCTGAGCCTTCTATAAATCACAGACACAACTCCTAGGGCGAACACACCAGCACAGGCTAAGAAGCCAGCAGCCAGACCAAGTCTGACAGCAGAGATGTTTCCTCCTCCCACGGCCAGGGGCTTCTCACTGAACTCAGAGGTGTCTGTTTTAGTGATGATCTGTGGAGAGGTGACTGTGTACGCATTTGGTGCTGTAGATGAGTCAGATGTGCTCCTCTTTCTCCTGCTGTTGCACTGCTTGAAGGCACCACAGGCGCTTGTCTCACAGAGGCGGGTGATGCAGTGGAGATAGTAGGTGGAGACCTTTTCATTCTGATGCTCAATAAAGTGGAAAGCTTGGAACTTAAAGCGAGCATTTTGGCTGACTCCGTTCTCAATAATGGTTGTAAAATAATCCACAGAGCAGGAGACAAACAGGTTGAAGAAGGTGGAGATGGAAGGCAGAGGTGAGGTGGAGGCGTAGCATCGGTCCAGTAGAACATGATACTGGTCCGTCAAGTTGGTGGCCTTTACCTCGACGTAAATGTCAGTCCTGAGTTTAATCCCCAGCTCTGGGATGACCATTAGCTGGGTGTATTTGGCATCAGCAAAGAGAACCATGCTCAAGGAATGGATAAAAGTCTCATTGTTGTCCTTGGATGTGATGGAGGAGGCTGAGGCATGGATCTGGGTGTTTCTGACCAGATCCTGTAAGGGATAGACACAGGAGTAGAAGATCTCCAGCTCTTCACTGTTAGTGATGTTGTCTTTGGAAGAGTTAATGGGTCGAACAACACCGCTGATGTTCATCCACATATTGGAAAAATCAGGAAATGGTCCAATCCCAGGTACACTCACTGTCTGGATGGTGCTACAGGTGTCAGTCATGTTTACAGGAAAGTCAAACCGAGCCACAGGCGGAGTCACGGATTCATCCAGGGTTGCTCTGCAGGAAGGTTCCAGCATGTTGTTCAGGACCAGATGGCTCTCGTTGGAACCAGAATAGAGAACTGGACAGATCTGTATTTCCAGAGAAATCGATGAAGTTCCACAATTCACTACGATGTCCCTGATGTCTGGTTGTCTTGCCTCCGTCCCACAGTTGCTCACTGGTAGCTGACCACTTCTCACCACAAAGGAGAGAAACAACAAAACAAACTTCATTTTTGGTCTCCTGCTTTGCTTTTAAAGTTTTCTTCTTTGTGCTAAACTCATCCCCGGTAGGTGCTCAGAGTGTCTGAAGACTTTGGCTTGTGTTCTGGAGGTTTTATAGTTTTAAAACAAGGCCAAACGCCTCGCTATTTGAGAACATTTGTATTGAGATGGACCTTGAAAAGCCTGCTCTCATCCTGTACAGAAAGACTGTCTCTTTTGTTCTCTGTAGAGATCCATTACCCAGTTCCCAGTACTGTCATTGAGAGCTTAGCGAAAACAACGCTGAACCTGGAAAATGGTACACACGGCTTTCATTCTAAAATCCCATCAGCTTCAGTAACGCCTCCGGTTATTCCTGTTCATCCTGAAACTACTGAGAAAAATCTTTAAACCAGATACATTCTTCTCTTTACTCAGTGAATCTGTCCCAAGAGAACAGATTCAGCCGGAAACCATAATTCTACTCACTGGACATTTTAGTAAGTACACCTAAAGTACCAGGTTGGATCCCCTGCAAAATTCAGAACTGTCTGAATTCTTCATGTCATCCATCCATGGGTTCGTACCAGCTAGGCAGGCTAAGTAGCTAACTTGTTAATGCATTTATTGCTGAGTGGACTAGCTGCTGTTAACGGGGGAGAGACGGGTGATGTGTGGGAGGCTGAGCAGGCAGGGGCGGCTCCAGAAATGTTTGATAGGGGTGGCCAGGCGGGGCCAGAGAAATCTTTGGGGTGGCACACCAAACTGGTCCTTGTGGTAACTCTGGGAGAGTTTAGCCTCCTTTATTTGTTTATTTATTTATTTTATTTTTTAAACAGGACATATCCAAAACATTTATGTTATTTCAAATTTTGTTTTAATATTTATATTTTTTTGTTGAATTCACTTGTTGTGTTCACAAAAAGCTACCTAGATAACAACTTTTTTTAAATGGTGAGCAGCAGAAATGTGTATTTTTTTATTCTGATCATTTCTTTGCTCATTAATTGTATTATTTTTATTTTGTTTTACAATTATGTCTTGAATAACTGAGATCAACTTATGGTTTGAGTGAACATTAATATTAACATGATTTATTAGTACTGGCTTTTGCTGGGGTAGGGGGGTGGGGACAGCAATTTTTTAGGGGTGGCTATGGCCACCCCTGGCCACCCCTTAGGGGTGCCATTGTGACTAGGCAGGAGCAGCACAGCTGGAATCTCACTGCAATGTTTTGTTCCTGTGCTGTGCTAATAAGGTCATGTTTTGGGTAAATCATGCCTACTGGTGTTGTTTGAAGGTTCTGTCTGGAGGGGCAAGTCATTCTGCCAGTGCCACCCACTGCTAATTTATATCATTATTAGAACAACTGTACTACCTAAGTTCCTTTAATTGTTCCTATGTCTCCCGGGTTTTTTCCTTCTGAATCTTTTTTTATTTTAGATAGTTTGTTTTCGGGTTTAGATGGCTCAACAGACACCCAAGAACCAGTAAAAAGGTATTGCAATTCCCCCATGACGGCTTGGTGCTTCCCAATTTTCAGTATTATTACTGGACTTCTAATATTACGACATTGTTGTTCTGGCTGAGGGAAGGTGCTGATGTACTGAGTTGGGTGGTTGTGGAGAGAGCCTTATTTGATCGTTCTCCTATAGCAACAGGAAGGGGCATTGGGGGCCTTTTTTGATGCACTTGGATCTGTGGGACCATTGTTCCTCCTGACCCTTTGATTGCTTTGTTTGGAGAAGTCGCGGTTGATGCTTCTCTCAGCAATTGCCAATTATAGACTGTCACCTTTTGCTATTTGCTGGCTAAAAGACTTATTCTTTCATGATGGAAGGCATATTGCCAGGGGCGTAGCACCAAATTCTGGGCCCTAGGTACAAGTCTTCTAGGTGGGCCCCCATGCTCAATTACTTAATATCTCTCTTGCACATTTTTTGTCATGCTACAAGACAAGATAATAAATATGATCTTAGTTTAACCTCTATATTGAGCAAATACAAATGCCAGCATAATAAAAGTGAAATGCCCAGACTTCACATACAATCATTTTTATTTGCCAACAATGTGTTCAAACAAAAATCCTGGAATTTATTTTCCAGTAAATGCCCACTGGCGGGTCTTCATGTTAGCAAAATCACTTATGAGATCTTTAAAGTCCAATCCTTTGGCTAATTGGCTTTCAATAGAAAGAAGAGCTAGGCTGTTCAGTCTGTCCTTGGACATTGTTGATCTCAAATAATTTTTCACCAGTTTCAGTTTGCTAAAAGCCCGTTCACCCCCAGCAACAGTCACAGGTAGTGTGCAAAATATCCTCAGTCCAATACAAACTTCTCCAAAAATGCTCTGTAATTGCATCCTGTATAGATGGCATTAAGCAGCTCAAGAGGAGACCGAATGTGTGGAAATGTGGCACCATATATTGTTCTCAGGTGTAGCATCTCATTCTCAAATTCAGCTGTGAGATCCTTGTAATATTTTCTCATCAGTGCCTGGCATGATATCTTCATCTGCTCTTCAGTCATGTCTGCCATGGTTCATGATGTTAAGCTTTGCTGATATATATTGATATATTAAATACATATGACATGAAATAAACCAGGTTATCTCTGTGAATGTAATGTACTCTAAATTTCATAATCCCTGCATTATCAGCCAAATTATAAGATTGTCCATTTTCAAGATCAAATATAAAGAAATTTAAAATAGGCTTAAAATATCTAACCAAGTCAATAACAATCCTCTAACACCAGTTTCATCATGCTATACAAAAAACAGTGGCAGCTTCTCATTCCTGAGATTACCACGAATCCATCGATACCAAGTTTGTCCTGGTCCATGACTGGGAAGGAGCTGAAATATCCACACAGAGTGAACCTGTTTTTACTGCGAGGTCCGCGAATTAATTGGCGGCGGCCGCCCGCAATAATAATTCTGATTTATTTATATATATATATATATATATATATATATATATATATATATATATATACATACATAAATAAATATATATGTATATATTCATTCATTCATTCATTCATATATATATATATATATATATATATATATATATATATATATATATATATATATATATATATATTAGTGTTTTCACTGATAACAATAATTAATTTATATTTGATCTTGATGGTGAAACTAAAGGCGTTTAACACTGAACACCTAACATGAATGCAGCTTCTGAGAGCTAGCTAATATCAGCTAAAACTGTGTTCTGCTGCTGCTGGCTGCTGCTCACCTTTCTTCTTGAAAAACCTAGTCAATACTTGCTTCTGTTCAATTAACTTTTTCTCCTTCTTTTCTTTTCTTTTCTTTTCTGGAAGCCAGATTTCCCTTTCTTGGGAAAAGACATCACTGACTCTCCTGCCTCCAGCTCTGGCTGTCGGCATCTGCGGTCTCTTTAGCTGTACATGCGGCCGTGCAGCCCCTGGCCGCTGGTGTGGACTAAACCACTTTGCACATTTTTAAGGGGTGATAGATGCCTCAGAGATTATTCAGTTATTATTTTTAAGGCAAAATTCTGTTTCTTATCCTCTTTATCCAGGTAAAGGGAAGTTTATTAAGACATTAAGTAAGTTGGGGGGAAAAAACACAACAATAAAACATTTTTATTCAAAGCTGTCTCAGGGCCCCTCCCTGCAGTGGGCCCTGGGTAAACGGTACCCTCCCCCCCCCCCCCCCCCCCCCAGTCCGACGCCCCTGCATATAGCATTAGAGATGTCCCACTTTGTGCAGGACAGTCCCGCATTTTCATCACTTTTCTCATGTATCGCGTTATTGAGTCTCTCTTTTCGAGTTTAATCTTGCATAAATCAATCGAACTAGAAGGTGGGACTTCACCACAGGTCCGGTGCACGTGCAGCATACACCTGAAGCACCCAAACATGAGTCAGTGAGCATGGTGGATAAAATGCTGTTAGAATAAACTCATGGGTTCAAAGTGTTTGTGACAGAGTGACAGCGTCCGTTACGGCCACCAGCCTGGCCTCCTCCAGCTCAGGGAGCCAGAGCCTTCGACCCAGACACCGCCCCTCCTCCTCCTCCTCTCCTCCAGGCTGCTGATGAGCACAGCTGAGTTGAGTCCCACTGATGACCCACACCTGGGATAAAAGGCTGTGCAATCCAACAGTCTGGGTTGCTGTGTCCTCCTGGCCTCAGTACTGTTGTACAACCCCTTTTGCTTGTATTGGTTTTTAAGATCTCAGGTTATGATTTTGCTTAAAGGTTGACTTTGGTTTTAGACACTTTGTATTTTGAAACGCCTTCAGTTTCGGCAAAACCTTTACCAAAGTTTTAACCTGGTGTCTTTAATGTTGGTCAATGGTCTTTTAATGTTAACCTTTGCGCTATGCTTTTTTTACACAATGCCCTCCATCTTTTTGCTGACCTGTTTTTAGAATATTTTATGACAAGCACATTTTAAACATCCACTGTCATGTTTCTTATGCCAGATACAAGCTAAACTCCTTTAAAGCACATTAATAAATGAGAGAATTTTAAGGAAGCCTTCATTACTTATTCTCAGAAGTCTGAGGGGAAAAGTAACTGTAGAAAACTGTTGTTAGATTAGATCTGAAATTGTTTCAGTCAGTGATGTTTTTTTCTCTGCCCTATCTAATCAAAAGGGTTCAAATGAAAGCAACTGGACTTCTTTGGTTTCTTGAAGACGTTTGTCATCTGAGGAGCTTTGTCAATTCTGACTGAAATGTGGGAGAGTCAAGCTTATAAGCTGTGGCTGTCTGTTATTTAAAGAGCAGAAACTACTGTGGGTACCCTGCTTCGTTAGCCTAGGGATGGAGAGGCGGGGTACCCACAGTAGTTATGGCTCGATTCTGATTGTTGGAAATCACTGTGTGTCCTTCATCTTGGGACGGAACAGCAGCAGATAAAGATGGTGTTTCAGCAGACATCACGGCTCCTGGGTTAATCTGTGGGACAAAAGTTACAGTTCAACCCAGCTTGACCCAGCTGGGAAAATGTGACCTTTGTCACAAATTAGAGGCCATTCATGACAC